GACACCTGTTCTAAAGAGTTCATTTCCTTTAGAATGTCAGCATAGTATGTTATCACCACATTTTAATGTTGGCACAATGTCAAAATAGTACCACAAAATCTCATACAAATATACTCGGATTGAGTATACGTAACTCAGTCTGTTGTTAATGGCAAATACCTGTGCCCCTCATCGGCAGTCCCTGTATAAATCTGATTTGGGGGAGACATTTGCTCCGTGACCCATTGAACCATTGATCGCTTGGGCAATGCTAACTTGTGTCCAGTTTACGAAAAGTCTGGGTTGTGAATCCCCTTGGAGGTGTCGATGAGGCATAGGCGAGCTTTGGCCTGCATTTTGTTGTGTAAGACTTAATCTTGATCGATTACGTTCCTACTCTGAATAGATGATGGTATACTATTTGTCGCTTGGAGGCTTGGAGACCTTCTCGGACTGGAAGAAATGCGTTTTTGTCCAGGTGTGACCCCAGGCCTTTTCAGGCCTCCGATTGCACCCAAGTGAAGAAACTACGGGTTTCGAACAATCTCCTGTGATAAGATTGATGCGAATACTTTCATTTCGTATGAAAGTACACGATGAAGAGGTTCGTAAGTCAATCTCACCAGATAACGTAGGTTTTTTTCATGTTTTACAGCAGCCGTTTGACATGAATGCGGAATTCCGTTTGATGCAGTCAACGAGACATCCTCCCGAGTGGTGATGGGCCGATTCATAGGCTACATATAGCCAACTTAGTTGCTAGGTGGGCATATCTCTCAAAGAAATCTATTTCACTCAGTGGTGGCTAGATCAACAGCTAGTTCCAATGATTGCAAGCAACCACTGGTGTACTTCTCCCTATGAAGTCGTGCTGATTTGCATCATGCCAGAAATTATGTCGAACTTAGTTCTAGTTATCATTTTGTCCTCGGAACCCTCCACATTTGGATACAGTCTGAGTTACCATCGCCCAGGGTAGATGACATGCCCAAAAAAGTCCAGACAGTGACTAACTACTTCAACAACAGACTCTTTAAGGCAACATGTAGAGCCTTGTTTGGCCGATCTAGGACTGTTTGAATAAGTCTTGAAAACCTGCCTGCTTGATACGAATCGAGTTGGTACTGGATACAATGGGTTTCCATGGCCTCAAATAATTCCAAATGCAATGCTTCATGTAGATGACTGTTTCCGTCCGAACGCCAAAGAGGTGGATGATTCCTGATTTGTTAACGTCATGTTAATCTGCAGCCGATTCTGAACGCTTTTGGCCATTTTCCAACACACTTCATCTTCAACAGCCTGGAGCGCTCTTTGAGTTGGGCATAAAGGTTGGATACTACGGGCATAAGCGCAAGATACTTCGATGCACATCGTTTGCGCATGCCCTCTCCAATGCATGCTTACGGATACGACGGACCGTGACGCTAGAAGAAAACAGCCTCTACGCGGCATAATTATATAAAAATGACAGCGCTACTATCGAGTGCCGGAAAAGCCTCGACCTCCACTCGTAGGTTATAGGATCAAATGCGTAATGATAATTCGTAAAATTATCAACGCCTATAATTGTGAACTCAAAGCGTGTGTCCTATTCTCAGAAACATGCATCTGTCTTTTGATAAAAATGAACACATTTGATATTTATGATACGACCAAAAGAAGTAGGGCTTAATTGGGAAGTTTTTCTGCGTAAACTTGATAAGTGGAATATTCTGGTAATCCTTTTCTGAGCTGAACAAGCCTATCTTATAATTATGGCTTCGAAATGTTCATTGCGAAGACGTCGTATGACACATTTATAGCAAAAAACAATTAAATACACCCTTATTGTGCACCAGTTTGAGCATACAAGAGCGATAATAAACTCCATTACTATGATGTCAAATGACTTAGCTAGGGGAGCCAGAAACCGATTATGGTAGGTGGGATGTCATTGTACATCAGGCTGCCATGACAGCACGTATCATGGCTCAAAGTAAAAAAAGCATAGAGGTTGTTTGACCTTGGTTTCGCAACTTGGTCATATTGGTAGGAAGACTTAGAAGAATACTCCTAGTCTGAAGTCCATTGTATGCATGATCATCTCCAGAGTCTGACCGTGGACGCGGTACTTTCCCAGACGTTTCGCCGGCATCGTAGTCGGCATTGTCAGTGAGTATCACCATTCTTAGCACCACACAACAACTCATCAAAGAGACAAATGAAGCCGACCGGTGCGTTCCTCTAAGTCTTCCTACCAATATGACCAAGTTGCGAAAACAAGGTCAAGCA